ATTCCCTTATTCAAGAACAGTCCCAAGGTATAAACAAAAATGGATCCAGCCTCCCTCAGTTACTTCAGCTAAGGTGATCTTCAGGAAAACAGTCCGAGAAGTTAGGTAGCTACAGGGAGAAGAAGTTGCATAATAATTAACATTGATGGATGGTAATCCAAGAGCATAAGAATGGATCTTAACATCACTCTCCCAAACAAGACTAGATACATAGTAATTTTTAAACACACTTAATTACATACAGAGCTTGAAGTAGCAGCTCAGAAATTGTTATGGGAAAAAAGCAAAACAAATGCCATTTTTTAATTAACTGAATTTCTTTTCAAATAGGTCACACTTGAGTATATCAGCACCTGCTATGTCATCACAATGGTGCAAGTAAGAGAGATGAGATATTGAGGCAAATAAGCTCCAATTCTTCCTTATAAAGACAGCCTATCGAGACAGAAATCAGGATGAAGACACTGTCACTTCTCCACAGACTAAAAAAATACCACCTTGATATCTGGTGCTTAGCTTCACAGGTCTGTACTTGTGACTAGGAAATGCAGATGAACGGTATGATTTTAAGCATATGATACAGAGGGAATGCAGACAAAGAGCAGCCTAGCAGCCTTGAATGGTTTGTTAACCCAAAGGGAAAAGAAAAAGAAAGGGACAAAAAAAAAGAATAAAAAGATACATTCACATATTTGAAGAAATAGCACTGGAAAAGACAGCTAACTAAGCATAAACATAGGACTGGTTTTAGGCACAGTCTAAACAAGGAGTCATCTAAGATAACAGACTGAAGAAGGCTGAGCAAACCTCTGGCTATCAACACCTACATCCACCATTAAGAATTCTTGAGATGACTCTGCATCCACCCACTGCTACAGAAGACCAAAATGCACAGCTGTAAGGAAGTTCAGATCCATTTGGGACAGCCACAGAATCAAAACAGCTGTTATCTCAAGAAACCTCAGTGGCATATATAACAGCAACCCAGAAAAACCTCACTGTTTTCCTATGTCCAAAATTCAGTAGATGACAAAGCTGACCTGAGCAGATTCAGGCTCAAATTAATATTCTCACCCTAGCTTCAAAATCACATCATTAAACTTCCCGTCTCTGATTTGGAAAGACCAACACTCAATAATGACAGCTGGCAACATCTTAACTGATCTTACGCAGAAGAGGGTCTGACAAATCCTGCAGTCCTACTGCAGGGGTGGGGGTCTCGGGGAAGTTCCAGTCTGAATTTAACTCAACAGAACTATGGAAAATTGGTCTGCTCCTTGGTAGAAGTGAGGCAGCTTGCACTGAAAAACAATATTCCCCGACTGCCAAACTTAAGCCACAATAAATAATTTCTGCTGTTGTAAAACAGCCACAAAAAAAAAAGACCTTGTTTTAAAGAATTTTCCTGTACATAGAATTCCCAGGCTCCCTATCCCAAGCCTCAAGCATATGATCCTTTGGTCTTGATCAAAGCGAAGGAGTCCAACAAGCTACACTAAGAGCTTTAAACTCTAGAATATTGATGTGGAGCTTTCATCTAACCACTTAAAAAGCCTAGAACACGTAGCACCAGCCCACCACCTGGAAATATCACAGAAAATGGTAATGGGTCTGAAAGAATTTCCCCATGAACATGTGCTACCTTCAGTTTTTGCATGTTGAATAGCCTGACACATAAACGGCTTAGAAATAAGTACTGTCAAGGAGGTGTGCTTCATTTGTTAAAAAATCTTGCAGAAACTACAGAGGTAACTTGGAAAGAGGTATCTCCTCACAATAGAAATAGGAACCTGTTTTGGATCAAAAACCAAGTGTCTTATTTGAAAGCAAAGTCATAAAGCAGGCTTTCTAAAGGACTGTTGGTTAAAAGGAAAAAAAAAATCTTATGATATTATACTGTCCTGGTTTCAGCTGGGATAGAGTTAATTTCCTTCCTAGTAGCTGGTACAGTGCTGTGTTTTGGATTTAGGGTGAGAACAATGTTGACAACACACCGATGTTTTAGTTGTTGCTAGGTA